GCACATGGCAGGCACCTCGTAAATACTAGCCATTATGATTTTCTGAGAAAGCAGCCAGTTATATTGGAAAAGGTATGGAGTTCATAATAAGATTGTTCCAAGAGACCTTGAGCAAGTTACTATCAGAATTTCGGTTTCTTCATCTGTAAAATTTGCTAGCACCTTGCATGGTTATTGTGATGATTTTGTGCGAGAACGAGCCCTCTCCATACTCCTGGCACTCAGCTAGAGGTAACTCCTCAAAGCCTTCCAAGATTCCGGGACAGGCTTCAAATCAACATTTATTACGTATCAGGCACTGGGCTAGATGGAACAATACTGGAGAGACGGGACTTTTACCAAAAGAGAAAAGAGACCTTAATCTTCAGGAAGATTGGATTCATCCTGCAGCAGCTCCTACTACACTCACTAGAGAGACTTTCAAAGTCATGTCAATCTAACCCCAGCCCCAGTCAGGAGTTTCCCTGTGTTCTGACAATACCAACAGTCCCAAGATCCCACAATCTCACTCAGGAAGCATTCTTCAATCCTTTAACTGTCACTTCCACTGGTCTTCACAGTATTATTTCCCTTCTTAAAAAATTCATCGGGGGCGCCCGGGTGGCTCGGTGGGTTAAGTGTCAGGACTCTTGGTTTCAGCTCAGTTCATGATCTCAGAGTTGTGAGATCACCCCGTGTCCAGCTGGTCTCTCAGTGCAGAGCGTGTTTGAGATTCTGTCTCTCTTTCTGCCACGCCCTTTGCTCGTGCGCATGCTCTCTCTCTCTCTCTCTCAAATAAATTAATTGCTTAAAATATTTTAGGGCACCTGGGTGGCTCAGTTGGTTAAACATCTGCCTTCAGCTCAGGTCATGATCCCAGGGTCCCGGGATCAAGACCCATGTCAGGCTCCCTGCTCTGCAGGGGCTTCTCCCTCTGCCCCTCTTCCCACTCATTCTCTCAATCTTTTTCTCTCTCAAATAAATAAAATCTTTTTAAAAATAAATAAAATCTTTAAAAAAAATCTGGGGCACCTGAGTGTTTTGGGCATTAGACTCTTGGTTTCAGCTTGGGTCATGATCTCAGGGTGGTAGGATCGAGCCCCTCGTCAGGCTCTGCATTCAGTATGGAGTCTGCTTGTTCCTCTCCTTCTGTACACCCCTCAGATAAATGAATAAATAAAATCTTTTAAAAAAATCATCAGCGACTAACTTCCTATTCCTAATATGAATCAAATCCAAACTTTTTAACCTGATGTATTGCTTGGGAAAACAAAAACTGTAACTACATAGTTAAGTATTATTTAAGTTATATATTATTTTATAGGGTTTTAAAATTTTATTTATTTACTTGACAGAGAGAGAGAGATCACAAGTAGGCAGAGAGGCAGGCAGGGGGGGAAGCAGGCACCCCACTGATCAGAGAGCCCAATGCAGGGCTCAATCCCAGGACCCTGAGATCATGACCTGAGCAGAAGGCAGAGGCTTAACCCACTGAGCCACCCAGGCGCTCCTATTTCATAGTGTTTTATATAACTATAAAACATAAAGCCCAAAATTTTAGTGCTGTAATGAATAGAAATTGATTTATTGGTCAAGTGAAGTCCAAAATGCATGCTACTGATTATAGCAGGCAGTTTTCTCCCAAGTGGTGATTCAGGGAACTAGGTTCCTTCCAACCTGTGGCCCTACCATCTTTAACATTTGGCCTTCAGGGTCACTGTGCTTAAGGTCATATTCATCAAACCACAAAGGAAACAAAATGAAGAATCTGCCTTGGGAGGCTTCATAGGTCAAGCCTGGAAATGAAACATACTACTTAAAAGGAAACTGAAAAATGTGGTCCAGCTATGTGTCCAAGAAAAAGAAAGAGATTCTGATAAATAACATAGCAGTCTCTGCCTCACCTGGCATTCAAGATTCTCCACAGTCTGGCTTCAACTTACCTTTCAAACTTGATATTTCAAACTTGATACCATTACACAGGTATGACTATGGGTCAGCTTTGTTGCTGTAGCAACCAATCCCAAAATCTCAGTGGCTTACAGTACCAAAGATTTATTTCTGACTTATGTATATGCATGCTGTGGGCAGGCTACAGCTCTGCTCCATGGGTCTTCTCATTTCAGGACCTAGGCAGGAGCATTTCTCTCGTGGAATACATCCATTCTAGTGGCAGAGAAGAATAAGAAAGTGGAAACTCACATGTGCAAACATGGCATCTGTTCACACCCCATCAGCCAAAATATGAAACATGATCAAGGTCAAAGTCAATGAAATGAGACATATATACTTCATCTGCAGGAAATACTTCAAGTCACATAGCAATGGGCAGGGAAGGAGAAAGTAAATAATATCAAACAACAAGTCAGTCTACTACAACTGCCATCTTCCTTCTAGGATACATGATAGATATTACTAATTAATCCCAGCACTCTTTCCTCAGAATCCTTCTCAACACATTTCAGGCAGTCATGACCAATAATCTGAGTTTTTCTTTAAAAAAAGCTGAACTAGGGGCGCCTGGGTGGCTCAGGGGGTCAAACCTCTGCCTTCAGCTCAGGTCATGGTCCCAGGGTCCTGGGATCGAGCCTCGCGTCGGGTTCTCTGCTCGGCATGGAGCCTGCTTCCTCCTCTCTTTGCCTGCCTCTCTGCCTACTTGTGATCTCTGCCAAATAAATACATAAAATCTTTAAAAAAAAAGCTGAACTTTATATGCTGTTCTTATATGACCTCTTAGGCTCCAGTAAACATTATAAATTCCCACTTCTGAATCTTTGCTTCAGGCTAGAATAAGCTTTGCCTTCCTAGATCTTGTCCTGCCAAACTATCCAAATCCAATCCATCCTTCAAATATCTATATGTTATATTCATTCTTTCTTTTAAAAAATAATTAAAGATTTTATTTACTTATTTGAGAGAGAGAGAGCACACAGCGGGGAGGGACAGAGCGGAAGGAGAAGGAGAGAATCTCAAACAGACTCGGCGCTGAGCGGGGAGTCCAACGTGGGGCTCAATCTTAGGATCCTGAGTTCATGACCTGAGCGGAAACCAAGAGTCCCATGCTTAGCCAACTAGACTACCCAGGTGCCCCTTTATATTCATTCTTTCAGCAAAATTTATTGAATACCTAGCATAGTACCTCACAGATATATTTGTTGAATAAATCTGTTTCACATCACCTGTGCCTTGTGCATAAAACCCAGTGAACATTTGTCCCTTAACTAATTAATAGCACTGTTTCTTAGAACAATGGGAGTTGGTATCACATACCAGCAGTTTCCGTGGTAGAAGCTCGGTATACTGACTGTTTGTGCTTGAATCCTGATTCTACCATTTACTAGTTAGATGATGCCAGGTAAGTCACTTTAATTGTGCCTCAATCCTTATCATATGTAAAATGAGGATAATAATAGGACCTACTATATAAACCTGTCATATCAAATGGTAAAATTCTTAGCATAAACACATTGTAAGCATCCAAAAAATGTAAAATGTTTTCGTGTTTTGTTTTGTTTTTAGCTCCAGCCGAGACTGAATTTTCTTCCAAGCCTTTTTTTCTGGGTGGAAGACGAAAACCAAGAATACATGGGACATGGGTCCCTGAACAAGCCCCACTCTTAACCCACCCCAGGACCTTGAGCCAGCTCCTCGTCCAACAGCTTATTCCCCAACTCATAAATCCTGACTAATGACACAGACATGTCCCCTTAATGTTTGTGAAGCCCAGTGACTTATTGTTAAGTGTTTGGAGATCTTCAGATGAAAGGCACCCAAGGGCAGGCACCAGACACCCTATCCAGTAATAAAAGCAAAATACTACCAAAAAACTTGGAAAAAGCAGAGGTTCCTTAACTTAGTGAGCAGAGAATTAAAGCAAGCACCCAGGAAGAGCAAGTCAATCCTTAGACTGTAATCCCTTAATACAGAGATGGGGAGAGAGATCATTTTGAATGCCTCGGACTCCCTGGAGATTCCTGGAGGGTCCAAGAAGGGGTAGGCAGGAGGATGCCCAAGTCTTTAACTTGACTTAGGTTGTGGGAAGAGTGTGAATCTTTCACCTCTCCTAAATAAAAACAAGAGTAGTAACATGTATTGTTATCCTAATTCATTTAAGCCAATTAAAAGGCTTGGGCAAACCAGCCGGTCTAAGTGGCTTGTTTGTGAGTCCTGAATTATGAACTCACATAATTGAATTATGTCAGTCTCCCCTTTCAACCTCATTCTTTCCTCCCCTCCTCATCACCACCACCACCTCAGGCAATGGTCCCCTTCCTAGACCTAGAGGCCACTCTAGGAGAGCCCAGTCCTGGTGTGTATTGGCAGGCCCCTGGCACTGAAACCTTCGAGGGGTGGGGAGAATTTATATATACGCACACACATAGTGGTGCACAACACAGTTTTTACAGGGGCCGTCCCTGAGGTCGAAGCAAAGAAGAAACTGCTACCACAACCAGTAGTTCCCCGTCCCTAAATAGTAGGTAGCTGGGGGTTCGTGCAGCACTGGAGTTCTACCATTGCATAGATTTGATACTTTTAGACCGGTTCCTTAAAGCATTCTCGGCTTTAATGTCTTCATCCGCAAAGTGCGCATAACAACATTATCTACCCCAACCTAGTTGTGAAAGCAAGCCGGAGGACATAACGCAACGCGCTCAGCACCCCCATAAGGCTTTACGTAGGAGGCGTTAGGGCCCTAACTCCTCCCCGCCATCCCACCCACTACGCACGTTACAAACCAGCAGTCGCCACTAATACAGCCGGCCCCCTTTTGAGGAATCATGGGCCGTGAAGTCCTTTGGTGAACACACCCTCGTTTATAGTCATGGACGTGAGAACTACGCCTCCCAAGTTGCCGCGGTGAGGTAGTCGCCACGGCCACCCTCTGCTCCGCCCTCCTCACGCATGGCTTCCTGGAATATGTGGTCCCAGATCCAAGCCAGCTCTCCGACAAAAGAGGGCGGAGAAACCACAAACCCCAGAAGGCCTCGCGTCCCTTCTTCTCCCTCCCCTCCAGGAGTCGGACTGCTGTTTTTGTTGTTGGTGGAAGGTGAGGGAACAGCTGATCCGAGAGTGGGGTAAGAAACTTGGCCTAATTTGGGGGCGATCTGATGCGGGGGGGGGGGTATCCCACTTTCCAGTCTGTGGAAGGATAACCTAAGGGAACTGTAGAAGGGAGATGCCGGAAGCTTTGGGTTTTAATACTTTCCATAGTGGAGAAGACACCCCTACTGTTTTAAGAGTTCTGGGTCTCAGGGGGGCCCCTGATCAGGAGGGTGCCCCCTAACTGTTTTCACCTTCTCCTCGGTCCTTCTCTATAAAGCTTGTTACGTTTCAGTTAGTTGGGAGAAGCTGAAATATTTACTCATTCTCTCCCAGGCAAGACTTGACCCTCGCAAACCTTCCCTTTCTCCTTACCCTCCCGCCCCAATCCGAAGGCCTTTACTACGCTGAATCGCTGGGGGAAAAAAACCTCCCAAGTGGTAGAATGTTAAGGAACTCTAGAGCCCTACAAAGTTGGGGGGAGGGACTCTCGCCTCCCTCTCGAATACTTGAATCTAGCTACACTCATACACTTTAAGTGCCCAGAGCTTTGTTTCGGGTCTGGTGAATGTTTCCAGCTGTTATGGATTTTCTTTGTGGGGCATATTTGGTGTTCCCCAGGCTTAGATCTTTGCAGACAACTCATTCTTACTTAGAACATCAGAAGAACTGTATTTGGAGAAAACATAGGCTAATTTTGACTGGGGGCTTTTCAGAGATCAAACCCCAAAAATACTTCTTGTCCTGAATCCAGTCCTTATTTTGGAGGGAGAAGTTGCTTGTTTTTGGAGAACTGGCTCACCTTTCCTTCCCTATTGAATTTCTGTTGTTTTTTAAAGTCCTGGGCCCAACTTCGGCGTGACATGGGTTTGTGATGTTTAGGGGTGTCCACATGAGTACCCATGGCTGGTTGGATGTCATCTTCTGCAGCTGACATAGAATGAAGCTGGAGAGCAGCGATGGCGAGGGCCATCTCACAGCTTTAGGCTGAGGAGTTCTGTTGATTATTGTTGTTCCTCCCCCCATACGATAGTTCCACCCAACTTGGAACACCTCTTCTTCTCAGTCCCATCTTACAGCATACCTCCACTTCCCCATCCAGGCACTTAGAATCGAGGCCAAAGGGGGCAGAAAGAAAATAGGAAAATACTGCAGCTGGGTTAACATAGTCAAACCAGTAGGTTTCTAATTCTGCTCCCAGCAAGAGCTGAAGAAAAGAATGATAGGTTCTGTTTGAATTATCTCTCCCTTCTCTCAGCATCACATATATATTTCCCCTTCTCAGGGCCCCTTACTTCCCACCTTCCAGGCTATCCCCTACCAGGGGTGGGGCTTTCCTGGCTCCAGGCTCCCACATTCCATCTCCCCACACCACCACGTTCCTGCCGAGTGTTTCACTCCACCCTTGAAGCAGCCGCCTCCAGAATTCTTGACTTCCTGGAGTAATGAAGTGGAGAGAAAAAACCTGTCTTTCCCTATATCCTACCTTTCACTTTGTCTCTTGAATGAGAGCAGAAGCTTTTTTTTTTTTAATTCATGAAGGTGGACAACTCTGAGAGGGGAGAGAACTGGGACCTCAGGGGCCTGAGGATTGGGCTGTTGATCCCCCCCCAGCCACTTTCCAGCTCTGAAGACTTAGTCTTTACTTTCTCAGAGATTAGTTGTTGTTTTCAGATGTCATGAGTCGTCCTGGGTACAGCTGGAGTGTGCAAGGAGACCCACTCAGAATGAGGGGCCCCACACCTCAGTTGGATTTTGAATCCAAGAGCTGAAAGATATGGGGGATGGGATGGGGAGGTGGAGGTTGAAGGATTTGGAATGCTCAGGATGTTAAGAGGTAGAAAAGGAGGGACTCAGAAGGCAGAGCCCTGGATACTGAGACTTGGTCAATGGGGCTGTGAAAAGGGAACAGAAATGAGAGAGATCTTAACTCTAGGAAGAATCTATGACTCAGGAAAGGAACAATGTGAGGCAGGATAGGGACTGACTCAGAGGGCCAGACCTATGTTCTGGAAACCAAAATGATACCTCCAAAGGGTTGTCTAACCCTCAGGGGCTGGAAACGAGATATGCCTTCATCTCCAGGTGTAGTGACAGGAGCTGTGAGTGGGTGGGAATGGAGTTGGGGGGAAGAAGAGTTGGATTGGAGAGATTGTAGGATATTAACCCTTTATTTCAGAGGAGGGCAGATATCTTCAGGGCAGGATGGAAGAATCATCACTAAGCCGGGCACCTTCCCGAGGTGGAGTCAACTTTCTGAATGTAGCCCGGACCTACATCCCCAACACCAAGGTGGAATGTCACTATACCCTTCCCCCAGGCACCGTGCCCAGTGCCAGCGACTGGATTGGCATCTTCAAGGTATCTCTGAACCTTTTTTTGGCTCATATTTATGGGCCATGGGTTGGTTGGAATAAGGGGAGTGACTTAATCCTTGGATTCTCAATCTCATGCTGGTAGAAAAGAAGGGAAAAGATGTCACAGGTAACTGAGGGCTTCTATGTAAGCAGAGCTCATCTTCTCCCCATCTTACCCCTGCTCTCTTTCTCTTTTTTTAAGATTTTATTTATTTGACAGAGAGAGAGCGAGAGAGGGAACACAAGCAGAGGGAGTGGGAGAGGGAGAAGCAGGCTTCCTGCAGAACAGGGAGCCCAATGTGGGGCTCGATCCCAGGACCCCGGGATCATGACCTGAGCCAAAAGCAGACACTTAATGACTGAACCACCCAGGCGCCCCTTAGCCTTCCTCTCTTCTGCCACAAAATGTCCCTCCACTTTGGCTGTCTCTCATCGTCCCTGTCCCTATAACAGCATCCTGTCCCTGGTCAATCCCTCAGCCCTTTCTGCCATCCATAGCTTATAGTTCCATCACTTTACCCCTCTCCCACCATGGTTCTTCACAGGTGGAGGCTGCCTGTGTTCGGGATTACCACACATTTGTGTGGTCTTCGGTGCCCGAAAGTGTGGCTGATGGCTCCCCTGTCCACGCCAGTGTCCAGTTCCAAGGTACGAGGGAAGATGGAAGGTCCAAGATGGAGGAGCCAGGGGGATAGAGGTGTAGAGGACAGTGGGCTCAGAAACAAAAGTTAGGCACAGACAACAAAGAAAAATAAGTGCAAATAAAGAAAGTAAGAACTATATCCAGCAGGGCTCAGCAGACATAGAATTGTGGGATTATTATAGAATCAGGGACTTAGAGATGGAAGGAACTATAGAGGGCCACTAATCCTGCCTCCTATGAAAAAAAGAGGAAGTCCTCTTAGGGAACTAGGGGTAGGGAAGAGGGAAGGAAAGGTGGGATCAAAGATTAAGAAGGTGGTGTTAGATTCCGAAAGACCTGGTTTTGTATCTCAACTCTAATACTTACGAGCTGTTTGGCCCTGGACAAATTACTTAATCTCTCTGTCTACTGTCTTAACAATAAAAGGGGGTGCCTGGCTTAATAGGTACAATATGAAGGTTTAAAGTGATACAGGTAAAGGGTTAGTGTAGTGCCTGGTACAGCAGCGTGGGCACTCAGTAAATGGTAGCTAGCATCATGATGATGATGGTGATGGAAGGTAGGTTTGGGAAAGAGAGGAAGGACAGGACTAGGCAGAAGGGAGGGACAGGAGTATCCCAGGATATGGAAATACCCTGTGGGAGGTGGAGAGAGAACAGTATATGGAACAAGAAACAAGAGGCTAGAGCCAAGGGCAGTGGGTGATAAGTCACATCAAGGGTAAGGGGGACGGGTCAAACACTTGAGGGCCTGGGATCATATTGGGTCCTGGGTCCATTCCTCTTCCCACAGCCAGCTACCTGCCCAAACCTGGAGCCCAGCTCTACCAGTTCCGATACGTGAACCGCCAGGGCCGGGTGTGTGGGCAGAGCCCCCCTTTCCAGTTCCGAGAGCCAAGGCCCATGGATGAGCTGGTGACCCTGGAGGAGACCGATGGTGGCTCTGACATCCTGCTGGTTGTCCCCAAGGCCACTGTGCTGCAGGTGAGAACAGCGCGGCAGAGCTGCTCCTAGGCTGGGGAATGGGTGGGCAGCAGGGCAAGGGACCCCTTCTCGCCTAACCCTCCCCTGGGCTCTGGCCTCAACCAAAGACCTTGCTGGGAGTTACACAATCTTGCTGTTAAGAAAGTCTCGGTCTAACATAGACACAAGCATGTAGGGCAGGAAAGCAAGCCACCCACAGGCCACTGTCACTCAAGATTTCATAAGTACTTTTTGAACATTCCTCCCAAGTGCCACATCCTGTTCTAGGCTGTAGGGGACGATATAAAGGGTGGAGGGAGGCCACTCCAGGGAAGGAATGTTCGGAGGAAGGGGAGGATGAGACCTATGTCCAGGACAGGTGAGGAATGAGAGCAGATAGGATGGTCCTAGATAATATTGGAGGCTCTTGAGCACTTGAAATGTGACGGGTCCAAATTGAGATGTACTATGTGGGTAAAATACACAAAGGATTTTGGAGACATTGTATTTTAAAAAGTAAAAGATCTCAATAATTTTTTATATTGATTACATGTTGAAATGATATTTTGGGTAGACTGGGTTAGACAAAATATTATTAAGGTGAATTTCACCTGTTTCTTGTTACTTTTTTGAAGTATCTACCAGAAAATTTAAAAACCATTTGTGTGGCTTGTATTCTTTTCCCATTGGACCAAATAGACCAAACAGAGAAGAATTAGAGAGTGAGGGCAAATGTTGGCAAGGACTTCCTAAAGGCAGAGAAGGGACAGGGACAGTTGGGGAGGAAATACATACACTCCCCAGACAAGAGGACAGATTTGAGAAGGCTCAGGAGGTGAGAATGAGTAACTTGTCTGTGATGGAAGTAAATTCTTGCCTTCTAGAACCCTCTAAACACACAGAATAAACACAAGAATAGGAAGAAGATGTTTGTATCTTACATAAGTCAGACATGTGTGCGCTCCTACCCCATAATCTGTTTTGTTTTTTATTCTAATTCCAGCGTAGTTACCATACAGTGTTACGTTAGTTTCAGGTGTACAATACAGTGATTCAGCAGTTCCTTCCATTACTCAGTGCTCATCATGATAATGATGATAGTCCCCATCACCTGTTTCACCCAGCCCCACCCACCTCCCCTCTCATAACCAGCAGTTTGTTCTCTGTAGTTAAGAGTCTCTTTCTTGGTTTGTTTCTCTCTCTCTCTCTCTCTCTTTTTTCCCCCATGCTCATTTGTTTTGTTTCATAAATTCCACATATGAGTGAAATCATACGGTATTTGTCTTTCTCTGACTGACTTATTTCTTTTGGCATAATACTCTGTAACTCCATCCATGTCATTGCAGATGGCAAGACCTCAATCTTTCTTATGGCCAAGTAAAAGTAGCGTGTGTGTGTGTGTGTGTGTATGTGTGTGTGTGTGTGTGTACACCACATTTTCTTTATCCATTCAGTATTCAGTGGACTCTTGGGCTGCTTCCATAGTTTGGCTCTTGTAAATAATGCTGCTATAAACTTAGGGGTGCACGTTTCCCTTTGAATTAGTGTTTTCATACTTTTTGGGTAAATACTTAGGAGTGTGATTACTACATCATAGAGTAGTTCTATTTTTAACTTCTTGAGGAACCTCCATACCATTTTCCATAGTGGCTGCATCAGCCTGCACTCCCACCAACAGTGAAGAGAGTTCCTTTTTGTCCACATCTTTGCCAACACTTCTTGTTTCTTGTGTTTTTTATTTTAGCCATTCTGACAGGTGTGAGGTGCTATCTCGTTACGGTTTTGATTTGCATTTCCCTGATGTTGAGTGATGTTGAGCATGTGTCTTTTGGCCATCTGGATGTCTTCCATGTTCTGTTATTACATTTGTTATTCTCATTACAATTACTTTTCAACAATATATACTAAGAGATCACTTTACAAATGAGGACAAAGACATAGAGAAGGTAAGTAACCCATTCAAAGTGACATAGCTAGTAGAAATCATAAACTTATATCTGTCAGGTTCCAGAATAGATAAGGTAAAATTCAGGGAGCCATCCCTTTTGTCTGCATGGATTAAGAGAGACTTCTTCCAAGGTGTCGGGAGCTGGTGTGTCTGGTGGTGGGCAGGCTTCAGTAACACCCCAAGGCTCCCCTTACTCACCTCTTTATAGCTGTACTGATATAATTTCCCAGCTCCGAATGCATCTGCAGAGTGTTAGGGACGGGAACATCACAAGCACAGCCCCCCTCTTCATCCTACCCCCTGTAGAACCAGTTGGACGAGAGCCAGCAAGAGAGGAATGACCTGATGCAGCTGAAGCTGCAGCTGGAGGGACAGGTGACAGAGCTGAGGAATCAAGTCCAGGATCTCGAGACTGCTCTGGCAACCGCCAGGCAGGAGCACGCTGAGCTGATGGAGCAGTACAAGGTGGGAGTTGGGCCAGGTGAGGGCGGGGCCTAACCCAGTGAAGGTGGAAAAGGAGAGATACTAGTGGACTTTTTAGATGGTTCTGGCATCAAAAATTAGCTTTAGGGAATAACAAGTGGGATTAAGCTTGAGGTGACAGGAGACACATCGCAAACATAATGTAATAAGATTCTTTGCTCACGGTAGTAGTGAGGGAGGGTGGAGGTGGCCATGTTCACCAGCAAGGGAATGTTCCCTTGCAGTTTCTTTCTCAAGGAAGGTGACAGGGTAGAGGGGTGAGAACAGTCAAATTCTGGTATGATCCTCCTAAGGCCTTGTTCTGTTCTTTGAGAGGTGAGTCTCAACTTCATCTTTCTGAGGTAACCTTAATTCCAGGGGCTTTCCCGGTCCCACGGGGAGCTCATAGAAGAGAGGGACATCCTGAGTCGGCAACAGGGAGACCATGTGGCACGCATCCTGGAGCTGGAAGATGACATCCAGGCCATCAGTGAGAAAGTGCTGACAAAGGAGGTGGAGCTGGACAGGTGAGAGGACCTCCTCTGCCCCCGTTACTTCCTTTCATTTCCTGTCACCCCCAAACTCCAGCCTCTCGTTTGAGGCAGCAGGCGAACCTGCTGTGCCATGTGGTTATCCCACTTACAGGGGAAATCTTTTCCTGCCGAGCTCTCTTCCATCTTTCCTGATCCTATTCTGTATTCCTCACCTTGAGAAGTCATCGTAGTTATTATTTATGGTACAGCAAAGGCTAAGCAGGAGCGAGGAGCGGAGGACTTGGAAAAAGAGAATGGATAGAACAGTCAACACGAGATAAGAGAGGATGGATGATTTTACCACGGCAGATTTTACCACGGCAAAGATTAGAGGGGCGCCTGACTGGCTCAGTCAGTGGAGTGGGTGACTGTTGATCTGAGGGTTGTGAGTTTGAGCCCCTCGTTGGGCATAGAGATTACTTAAAAATATTTTTTAAAAAAGAAGAGGGAGCGCCTGGGTGGCTCCGTTGCTTAAGCATCCAGCTTTTCCATTTCGGCTCAGGTCATGATCTCAGAGTTGTGAGATCGAAGCCGGTATCAGGCTCCACGCCGAGCCCAGAGTCTACTTGAGATTCTCCCTCTGCCCCTCCCCCCTTCCCCTCTGCCCCTGCTCCAGTGAGCGTGCACACACAAAAGCACTGTTTCTCTCAGTAAATAAATAAATATCTTTTTTAAAAAAGAAAGAAAGAAAGAAACTATTATTTAAAAAATAATAGAAAATGAAAATAAATTCAAAAAAAGAAAAAGACTAGATTCCGTTCTCACTGTTAGGAAATGTTCAAACTGATGATCCAGGAACATTACAGAATCTCCTGAAAAAAGGCATGAGTCATAGAATGTTAGCACTGGGAGGAATATAGGGTATTTAAGAGGGTGGCTACTTCAAAAGGCAGCCTCTTTCAATATCAGACAACTGTCAGTTTTTTATCTCTTGGATTGAACCACACTTTCCCTTCTATAACTCCTTCCTCTTACTTTCCTCCCTTGGTCCTGGTTTAGACCTCTGGAGCTGCACAGAATGAATTTCCTTCTTCTACCAGACAGCTGTTATTTCCACCGGATAGCACAAATATTGAACACTTGCCATGCCTGTGCTTCAGATTTTCACCAGGAGAAACACCCTAGTTCTTTCTTTCATCAAATCACACAATTAAGCCTCTTTCATTCAGAACTGGTACATCTTATATCTATTTTTTAAACTCCTTAAAGGAAAGAAGCACATTATCCAAGGCCCAGAGTAAAACGTGAGTTACTCCCTGAGGCTTCTCCAGTGCAGAGTATGTTCGTCTTGCCCTAGGGAGCTACTTAATGTCTAGGTTCTAAATCATGGACTAGAAAAGCAGGGATCAGACTGAGCATCTGGAAGAGATTAGGGACTGTCTAGACCAGGGGTCAGTCACCAATGGCCCATGTGCCAAATGTGGACTTGCCACCTGTTTTTGTACAACCCGTGAGGTAAGAATGGTTTTGACAATTGATTAATGGTTTAAAAAAAAAAAAAAAGATATGAAAAGGAAGATAGGAAATTCAGATTTCAGTGTTCATAAATAAAGTTTTATTGGGACAGCTATGCCATTCACATACATGTGGTCTGGTGCTGCTTTTACACTACAGTGGCACAGTTGAGTAGTTGCCACAGAATCCTCCTGGCCTGCAGAGCCTGAAGTATTTACTGTCAGGCCCTTTACAGAAAAGGCTGCCAACTTCTGATCTAGGTCCAAAGTTTATAATCAATCACAGCTGTTCCTTGCCTAAAAAAAGACTGGGTTCTGGTCTCTTGATGGAACGAAAACAACTAGGAAGCCATCCACAGAACTTTCCTTAAAGTGATACATAAAGAGAAAAGAAAAACTTTTTTCTAGATTATGCTCTAGAACCAGGAATCTTGGATACTCGGGGCTTACAACATGATCACCTTGGTCTGGGGATTTGAACATCCTAAAGACAAGTGGAGGTCTGAGCCTAGAGGAGCACCAGTAGAAGAGCTCAAGACAGAAGTCTGAGCCCCTCATTGCTTCTCTGGTGACCAGTCAGTCATCTGACGTTCCATCTCCCCACACACACAGGGTGAGGGACACAGTGAAAGTCCTGACTCGGGAACAAGAGAAGCTCCTCAGGCAACTGAAAGAAGCGCAGGCAGACAAGGAGCAAAGCGAGGTAAGGGCTCAGAGTCGGTTCGCCTTCTGAAGTGTCCCTGCAGTGTTTACTAATTAAGTCCTGTCTGAGTGCTAAGCACCAGAGCGGATAAAAATGTTAAGAGAACATTGTATGCACTCTCCTAGGAAGCATAAAATGTACACCCAAATAAGTTTAGTCAAAGTGAGATATGTTAAGCATCACCAGGGAAGAATGATAAAGTGTTGTGGCGGGATGGCCCTGGGTGGCCCCATGTCAGGCTCCCTGCCGAGCGGGGAGTCTGCCCCTCACTCTGCTGATGTTCTTTCTCCCTCACTCTCTTTCTCTCAAATAAATAAATAAAATCCTTAAAAGAAAAAAAAAACCTGAAAAGGGGGGCATAGGGGTTCTTGGCTGGCTCAGTCAGCAGAACATATGACTCTTGATCTCAGGGTCCTGAGTCCAAGCCCCACTCTGAGCATAGAGCTTACTTTAAAAAAAAAAAAAAAAGCAAAAGCGGGGAATAAACTGGCCTAGTATTTTCTAGCATTTTTGGCTTTCTGCCCCACCTCCCCAGTAAAGTTTTATGTCTTATGTGGAACCTCACTAAATAGATAAAACCAGTATTTTATTACTATGAATTTATTTTTATAAATTCAAATGTACAATGTTGACTTAGAAGGTAACAAAGCAATAAGGTAATTCTGATAGATGCCAGACCTTGAAATCAGAGGTTATAGGTAACCGCTCTGTCAGCCTCAGCAGCCAGTATATTTCTGTATTATGTTTGGGTTGTGCAGTACCGAGGACACTTTGAGTCTCACACACAAGGAGGTGCCAGGACAGCCATTGTTTGACTGTCCACCTAGCCATCTCAGCGTGCTTTTCAGTTCAACAGAAACTTCATTCTGAGGTTTGCACAAAAATTAATCAACCTAGAAGCATATGGCAGTGGACTGAGACTGTTGTATTAACTTGTGAGTCTGTGTGTTGGGTTTTTTGGGTTTGTTTTTTTTTAATAATTTAGAAGAAGCTCGGATCACATATTTGCAGAACCTCTAAATGGCTTCCTCCAAGCCCTAGGCTTCTGTGGAAGGATATTTGAAAACCATTTGCTCAGCAGTGAGGAGTAGGGAGAATTTGAGTAGACGGAGATGAGAGGGAGGCCATTTTGGAAACAGAGAAATATGCAAACAAAGGCTGAGCACCCAGAACACTCAGGCAATTGAATGTGTGGGTGAAGAGTTTGAGGTAAGGCCTAGGTCATATTGGAGAGGACTTTGAGTTTAGTCTTTATTCTGTAAGCCGTGAGTGGCATCAGTGATTTTCGGGGGCGGGGGGGTGACACGTACTTTAAAAACAGTACTTTAAAGAAGATTCATGTGATTTCCTTATGGGAGATGAACTACATATGGGATTATTCAATAATCCAAGTAGGAAATGGCCAGGGCCTGAGCTGACATGGTTGCAGCGATAGCAGAAAAGAGAAAATGGCTGTGAACAAGATGGAGCATGGAGACTCTGAAGGCTTTTCCGTGGGTCGCTAAGGAAAGAACAGAGCCAAGCAGGCATAGCACCGACAGATCCAGCCTGAGTGACCTGAGAAATAGTACCATGGGTGGAACTAAGAGCGGAAAGGAGTAGAGTGGGAGGTAGAATGTGCTGAGTTTGAGGGTCTTATGGTACATCCAGACTGAGTTTTGATCTAAGAGGAAGAGCAGATGGGCACCCGGTGGCTCAGTCAGGTGAGAGTCTGCCTTTGGCTCAGGTTGTGGTCCCAGGGTCTTGGGATAGAGTCCCACATTGGGCTCCCTGCGCAGTAGGGAGTCTGCTTCTCCCTCTCCCTGCTTTCTTTCTCTGAAATAAATAAATAAAAATCTTTTAAAAATAAATAACTAAAAGGAAGAGCAGAGAAGCAGAAATGCTGCATGGGATACCTAGATGCATGTAAGACCCTGCCCAGGCTGGTATACTGGTACCTCATGTTGGGAGCTGGAGACTGGATGTTCAGGACTGAGTGGCTTTGAGCTGAGACCCTCAGCCGGCTGAGAAGGGCTGGGAAGGGCTGACAAGAGCTGAATACTTGGGTTTGTGTTAGACCTGGAAAGCAGAACCTTGACCTCTCTCATCGCAGTGGTTCACCCCCCAGCCACCCCAAATACATAACACCCCTTTCCTTACCTATTCACCACCTCCATCAGGCTGAGCTCCAAATGGCACAAGAAGAAAACCATCGCTTAAATTTGGAGCTACAGGAAGCAAAGGGCCGGCAGGAGGAACAGGGTGCTCAGGCCCAGCGACTGAAGGATAAGGTGGCCCAAATGAAGGATACCCTAGGCCAGGCCCAGCAGCGTGTGGTGAGTGAAGCCCTCAGGCAACAGGAAGTAGAGAAAGTTCCAAGGGCTCACTATAGAAAAGTCTGGGGAAAAGACAAGACTGGAGATGGAGCAGTGCAAATCTTGAGCCCGGAGGCAGTGGTGGGTAGCAGGGAGCCTGGTTACCTCTGTGGTTCATGAGGGACTCATTGGGAACCCTAACTCCATGTTCTCTTATCTGCTGAGGCCGAGCTGGAGCCCCTGAGGGAGCAGCTTCGAGGAGCCCAGGAGCTCGCAGCCTCAAGCCAGCAGAAAGCTACCCTTCTCGGGGAGGAGCTGGCCAGCGCAGCGGGAGCCAGGGACCGCACAATGGCCGAGCTCCACCGCAGTCGCCTGGAAGTGGCCGGAGTCAACGGCAGGCTGGCTGAGCTCAGCCTGCACCTGAAGGAGGAAAAAAGCCAGTGGAGCAAGGAGCGGGCAGGGCTGCTGCAGAGTGTAGAGGTAGAGGGATGGGGGGACCCGGCAAGCTCACAGCCACTGCCCCCACCTCCTGGGGCCAGAGCCCCTCAGAGGACAGAGGGATGAGGATCTTAAAGAACTCAGGGATGGGGAGAGGCTCCAAAGGAGGTGCAGTTAGTTCACTGTCCAGGGACCACCCATCCCTAAGCAGAGTGCCCCCAGTACCTTGTAGAACCTTCCTTGGTTACCATCTTGATTCAGAAACATTTACTGCCCCAGGAACCGGGCCCCGTCAGTAATGCCCATTCCTGATTAGCAAGGCACCTTCTGGCATGTCCCTTCCTTCACTGAGAAGTATAGGGAATGGGAAAGCCAAGAAGGGGAGAAATTGCTCCCAAAATACTCATTTAAATAAAAGAAGGGACACGGTGAGGGATGGAGCTATTGCCAGTGGTGTCTGTTTTCCTTCACCTTTCCCCTCCCATGTTCCTTTTCGGCCATGTCACAGGCAGAGAAAGACAAGATCCTGAAGCTGAGTGCAGAGATACTGCGACTGGAAAAGGCAGTTCAGGAGGAGAAGACCCAGAACCAAGTGTTCAAGACTGAACTGGCCCGGGAAAAGGATTCTAGCCTGGTGAGGCGTGCAGCCACCCATGAGTCCAGTCCTGTGGCCTCCTGAGGCCGTGGTGCCCCTTCTTGCTGTCTTGGATGTGGGCTCAGAAGTCCTGGCTGCTCACTTCCATGTTGAGTGGCCTCTTCCTTGCACTTGTCCCATGGCTTGTTGGTTTGAAAGGTACAATGTCCCCTTCTGTTCTCAAGACACATATCCTGAGCCTCTCAGGGGTGACTTAGGAGAATTATAGAGTGCCCTGCCATGACCAGGGCCTCTGCACCCCAACCCCGAGGCGCTCACCCAGGCCCACACTCCAGAGGCAGAGTCTGGGACTCAGGCGATTGCCTCCTGTGATCAAGACAGGAGTCATGGAAGAAGCATGTCGGGACTTCCCCTGTGTGAGTTGGGGCAAGAGAAGGACAGAGGCACAGAGAGACATGGTTCTAGGTTGGTGGGTCCAGGTCGCAGAGCCTGGCTTCCTGGAGGCACATTCTAGGCTCCCCACTCCCTCAGGTGCAGCTGTCAGAGAGCAAGCGGGAACTGACAGAGCTGCGGTCAGCCCTGCGTGTGCTCCAGAAGGAAAAGGAACAGTTGCAGGAGGAGAAGCAGGTGCATACCCATGACTCAATATCCCTGGATGCCAGAATTGAGGACTTGAGGACTGGGACCTTCATATCTTCCTGCCATCTCTTGGCTTAGAAGCTGTTATCTCTGAGAGAGCCCATATCTTCCTGCCATCTCTTGGCTTAGAAGCTGTTATCTCTGAGAGAGCCCAGATGCGAAAAATGGGACCATGCCTCCTCTCATTGGCCGATTTGACAGGATAGGAGAGGACTGCCAATGGGGAGGAAGAGATGCAGGGGGTAAAGAAGGGCTCCTGGGAGAGGGGGGAGTGAGGCTCTACTCTGAGGTGCCCCCCACTGTAGGGAAGGCATCTCATCCTGAGAAGCTCAGAGTTCCTCTTGGGTGCCCAGGGAGGTGGGTTCCGCAGGGCAGCAGGGTGGGCACACTCCCAGCCTCTCCCACCTCTCCACCCCCAACGCCAGGAGCTGCTGGAGTACATGAGAAAGCTGGAGGCCCGCCTGGAGAAGGTGGCAGACGAGAAGTGGAGTGAGGGCGCTGCCACAGAGGATGAGGAGGCGGCCGCAGGGCTGAGTCTGTACACCCCCAGTCTTGTGACACCACTTCCCCTCACCCCATTTCCCTGCTGGGGAGAGCTGCGTGTGGCCCCTCTGGGAGCTGCCTCCACCTTCTGTGTCTTACCCTTTTCCTTCCCAGACACTGGCCCCTGTCTAGTTTAACCTTATCCCTCGTCCAGAGGAGACAGCCCAGCCAGCCTCTAACAGCACATCCTTCTGTGCCCTCTCCTCACCGACAGGTTGTCCAGCGGCTCTGACAGACTCAGAGGATGAGTCCCCGGAAGACATGCGGCTCCCTCCCTATGGCCTGTGTGAGCGCGGAGACTCGGGCTCCTCTCCTGCTGAGCCACAGGAGGCTTCTCCCCTGGTTGTCATCAGCCAGCCGGCTCCCATTGCCCCCCACCTCTCAGGGCCAGCTGAGGACAGCAGCTCTGACTCGGTGAGCAGTGCAGGGGGGAAACAGAGCCAGGGGCACGGGGGGAGGGGGGGGAGAGGGAGAGAGGGTCATACCCAAGTGGCCTAGCCTCTGGAGCAGGAAGTCTTAGCTTCACAGGGCTCTCTTTTTACCCTGAGGGAGAGGAGGCAGGCCCAGGCTCTCTTCAAGGCCATCCAATGAACAACACCCCAAAACCCAATCCAACCCAATAGCCTTACTGCTGCCCGCTCCTGCTCCCTACTTTGCTTCTTACCTGCCGGCCCCCATCAGAACTCCTGTCCTGCCTCACTCCTACTGCATCCCACTGTCCACTTGTCTGGGCCTAGACTGCTCTTCTCTCAGCTGCTCCAATGGGCTGCTCCCCTGTCTTGGGACCCTCACTACCCCCAAAACCCAATCCTATCTCTTTGGTGCCCAGGAGGCCGAAGATGAGAAGTCAGTCCTCATGGCAGCTGTTCAGAGTGGGGGTGAGGAGGCCAATCTGCTGCTTCCTGAGCTGGGCAGTGCCTTCTATGACATGGCCAGGTGAGTGCAAGATGGGGAGACCAGGAGGGAGGTGGGAGGATGCCAGTGGAAAGGGCATCCGGGTGAATAGTCCCCATGCCCTTCACCAAGCTCCCTCTTCTTGGCCCCAGCCAGGAAAAGGTATGGTTGACACAAAGTCACTGCCACTCCAAATCCCAGGTGCCTTCAGGCCATTCCTGCCCCCATCTTACCAATGCACATGTGCACTCGGGCCCTGCCTTTAACTGGCTTCTGTGTTGTTCTAGCACCATCTTCTGTGGAGCCCAAATTGCCCTGCATCCCCTCTCTCCTGCCCCTTCCCCCTCCCCAGCCACCAGGTAGGTACCTAGGCTATGTCTGGGGAGGAAGGGGAGGTGGCCGATGCCCCCAGGGATGGGGTGAGAGAGAAGACGAATCCATCTGGCCAGCTCTGAGATGTCCCTCTTCCCTGACTCCCCCGGGAAGCCCTCTGGGTGATGCAGCTGCTGGGGCGGGGGTTCAGATATCAGATTGCCCCATGGGTCTTCCCTTTCCTTTCGCAGGTCAAGAGGGGAAGGCAGGGGGAAAGAGATTTTATCATCTAGCCCTCAGCTTTGCCTTGAGGCGAGATGGGCTCAGGGCAGGGAGGGGGTGATGCTGTCATCCTTCTCAGCTGGAGCAGGAAGATGAAGGACGATGTCAGACTCATTTTCAGCCTCATTAGGCAGCAGACAGAGATGGAGGGAGGAGAGCAGGGGGTTGGGGGATGGGCCGCACACTACACAGCGACTGGCAGGGTCTAAAGAAGAGAGGACATGGAGAGCCAGGAAACCAAGCTCCAGGAGTGTGGCGAGAAAAGATGCTGTGGGTGAGCGGGGGAGAGAGAGCCCCCAGGGAGCTGCCTGAGGAACCAGGAGACCTGGGAGCCCAGGGGCATGGGTCCCTCTCCCCGAGGTCCACAAGGCAGGAGGACATTGGACCGCACTGACCCTCTCCTTTCCCTCTGTCTCCTGCAGTGGCTTTGCAGTGGGTCCCTTGTCAGAGGCCAGCACTGGGGGCCCTGCCACCCCGCCGCCGTGGAAGGAGTGCCCCATTTGTAAGGAGCGGTTCCCGGCTGAGAATGATAAGGATGCACTGGAGGACCACATGGATGGACACTTCTTTTTCAGCACCCAGGACCCCTTTACCTTTGAGTGAGCTCACCCCCCACCCCAGGACATGCCCAGATACACTTACACACAGACACACACATACAGACATACACTTAGGTCTCATATCTTTTCTGATATGCGGGGCTCCATGATACTCTGTTCCCCAAGAACCGCTCTCTGAACCATGTTCATCCTAACCTCTTGCCTTCATCCTGTCCTGCCTGGGGCTCTTCTGTCCAGGCAGAGGCCCTCCTTGGAAGCGGTGACTGACTTCACCCCCTGAAAGCGGTTTGGGAGGAACCAGGATGGAGGAGAGCATCCCCAGGGGGACTAGAATCACCCCCTCCTAGCCCTGGTCGCTCTGTCACTGACACGAGCCACCACCCGACTGCCACCACCCCATCACACACACACAGGCACTCACACTCACACACACACACACACAAACACACTGCTGCCCCAAATCCAATTCCTGGGGCACCCCACCCACTTTTAGTCGGGGTCTGTGCCGGTTTACCTGAGTTTTCTCAGGGTCCTGCATGGAGGCGGTGGCGGCGGCATGGGCATCATGGCCTCTTCGGGTCTCTCTCAGTTCTGAGTTTCAGTGGTTCTTTCTGTACCCCCCATCCCAGCCCCATGGCCTGCACCCCACCCCAGCCTTTCCCACACCATTAAGTATGAAGTTTGGAGGTTTCTTTTGTATTTTTGAGATTTTCTGTACTCTAGCTCCTGCCCCTCCCTGCCATCCCTCCCCCAGTGTCCTCACATGGAAAGAAATAATGCATTTGTGCCTTCTGTGAGGGATGGGGGGAACAAAGCGTCCCAGGTGTCCCCATTTCTCACCCTTTCCTCCCTCTCCAGGTTCCCCCATAGCAATAAGAGCTTTCCCTCATTATCCCTCCCTCGATCTGTAGTTTGGACAAATATATTTATATGATATGTACAACGATTCTAATAAAATGTGTTCTTATCATGAGGTGTGACTAGAGCAATGAAGGCCCAAATACCCAGCTCCTGGACCATACTGAGGGGGAAGGGGAAGGGAGGGAGGGGACTCCCTGCTGCCTTATGGGAGACAGTGCCTGGCAGCATTTCCACATTGTGCCTCCTGATAGGCCGAGGAGGAGAGGGGTTTTTGTCTCAGGTTGGGGGGCTGGGGTCTGGCTTGGAGAAGACTGCAGTGGCCGGAGGGTGGCGGGAGCAGACTGATGGGTTGACATGGGCCCTGCTCAGGATTTCGGTCATGGAGTGGGGCGGGGTGGGACCCAGAGTTGTAGGCCCAGGTGCATGTCTCAGAAGGCAGAAGTTTCCCCTGCTCAGACCTTCACCCTCCATAGCAGCCGTCCCTGTACCATGGGCCAGAGACAGGCATTACTCCCATCAGGAGTTCACCCCTCCTTGAGGAACCACTTAGTAAAAAATACCCTAAACTGCATACTTCTACAGCCTATTTGATATTCCTTCCATCCCTGCCTCCTTTTCTCCCTCTGCTGTCGTCCTCACGTGCACGTATGCACACTCTGACTCCACAGTCACAAAAACATATCCATCCACTCTAACCAGCTTCACAGGCTAGATGTACACACAGCATCGTAAAGCATTTGTTAAGGACCTGTGCGCTCACCGAGACTCTCAGCAACACCCAGCACCGGCCCTGCCTACAGCCCCCTTGTTCCCCATCCCAGAAGCTCCCTTAGTAGCCACCCTCCTTTTACTTTGGGGCCTCTGAGCTGGCAACCTGCACTGATCTCTCTCTCTCCACCCACCTGAAATCCCCCCAATCCACCCTCCTCCCAGCCCCACCTGGATGACATCTTCCATCCTTCCTTCTTCCCTCCCGTCGCTGTCTCCTAGCAACCCCATCTCATTCCCTGAATCCCTTCCAAGGAAATTAGAGATAATGGATCTCTCCTCTCTCCATCTCAACTCCTCTTTATTGATCCTCCTTTAATGAAAGTTAATTATAACAATGATTTAATTAATAGAATCCCTCTCTTCCTTTATTGCTTCCCGTATTAAGACTATTAATAAATACGAGCTGGGCTGACAGAGGCATCCATCACCCGCCTGGGATTCCCCCCATCCCTCCTTTTTCCCTCCCCCTTACCCCCTCCCTCGCTTGGCCTATAAACTTGCCGGGGTAGTGGGGGTTAATCAGAGAGGAATTATGAGCCAACATCCCCAGCAGGAGGTGCATTTAATGAAATCACTTGTGATTTATGTCTGGGGATGGCTGGGGAGGGAAGAATCTGGAACCCAGACATCCTGGCTTCCAGAAGGGTGCCCCACCTAGTGCAAAAGGGGGGAAAGGGAGACAGAAACAGGGACCCAGAGCCCCTGCTCCCATCCTGCAGCCCCTGCCATGCCACTTAGACTGCTTCCCCGCCCTGGAGCCACATGGATAGCCACACTAGGCCATTGACACAGGCTGCCTGGCTCATAGTGCTTACATGAGATGCAGCATAGGTATTCTTTCCCACCTGCAGAACATCACAGGGGTCATTCTCACCATCCATTCTCCCCAACCCAGTTCTGCCTCACCTTCCCCAACCCACTGTATGGTCTGCTCCTCCACGAAGTCCCCCAGGTCCTCATCAGACCCCTTCACCTGGATATCTAGAGTCCCCAACTGCTCCTTTCTCTGTCCTTCGTGTGTCTTCCTGTGTGCTCTCTACACCTTCAGGCTGGGAAGTTTAGAGCCATTTCTCATCCTCACTCATGATCTGCCTACCCCAGGATCTAGCACATAGCCCCTGACAGACACAGGGAGCTCAGGGAGGATAACTGACTGCCTGCACCGGGGGCAGGGGCAGGGTGGGTAGCAAGACACCCGGGTTCCAATTCCAGCTCTTTCTCCTACTCTCTGTGCGGTGTTTGGCAACTTGGCCTTTCTACTTGTTTCCCTTCTGTAATGGATGGTCTCTTCTGCCCTGCCTCCCAGCATCCATGCAGAGACTGTTGGATCTGAATGAGCTCCAGGCCCTAGTGTGAAAGGAAAAGTCAGACCAAGTAGCAGATAGGAACCGGGGTGTCACTCGTTGGTGGGAGAGAACAGTGGGAGAGAACGGTCACTCCCCGCTTGTAGAACCTCAGTGGCCACCCGACTAAAGTGCAGGTCCCTTAGAGATCTGTCAGTCAGGGTCTCCACCCTCCAACTCCAACCTGCCTTTCCATTCCCATCCTACCCTAAGGAACCCTGGACTCCAGTGTCACAGAACCACAACACCATTTTTTGCAGGCCTCTGAGCACATGCTTTCCCCACAGCTCCTCCAAGGATGCCTCCTCCATGAATCCCTACTTGACTTCTCTCAGTCCCTCCCTGAGGTGCCACATACAACCCTTTTTGTAAAAACACACCACAGCAGGCTTACAAGTCTTTCTCCTCTCTCGACTCTTATGTCTCAGGTTCCTGAAGTCCAGTCCAGAGATTGGCACATAAGGGCCAGTCCTTCCAAAAATAAATTTTGTAATTATTTTACTAAAATATTTCATACATACAGAAGTATATATATGTCCACATAAAAGGAATGAGGAATAACACAGGGAGCATCACTGGACTCACCAAACAGCTTTAAAAAACATTAGCAGGGGCGCCTGGGTGGCTCAGTCATTAAGCGTCTGTCTTCGGCTCAGGTCATGATCCCAGAGTCCTGGGGCGAATCCCACATCGGGCTCCCTGCTCAGCAGGAAACCTGCTTCTCCATCTCCCACTCCCCCTGCTTGTGTTCTCTCTCTTGCTTGCTCTCTCTCTCTCTCTATCAAATAAATAAATAAATCTTTAAAAAAAAAAAGGGAAAGAAAAACATTAGCAATACTGTTGATGTGCCCTGTGTAGCCTGAAAGAGTAAAATGTGATGTCATTTGGGATCGAGACATGTCATGCATGTTTGTGCTAGAGAACTTTATGGAGTGCTCTTCACGGGTCAGGTGCTGGGAATAGAGAAGAACAGTCAAAAACAGTCAAAAAACAGCTTCTAGCCAACATAAAGCAACAAAAACAGGAAAGCAAGATAAGCACTCCTGTAGAGACAGGCATGATAGGCTCTGGGCCCACAGAGGAAGGATAATTAACCAAGACTTGGGGAGACAAAACTTACCATGGATGACAGTGTAGAAGCTCAGTGTTAAAGAGACAGAAGGAACAGAATATGCAAAGTCCTAACTGACTCAGAAGCCTGAACACTCAGGTAGGGCAGCTGAGTGGAGGTTGTACACTGTGAAATGAGCCTGGGAAGATGGACTGGGAGATCTCAAACGTTCACTCAACGTTCACTCAACTAATATTCATCGAGTGCCTGCTGTGTGGCAGGCACTGTTCTAGGCACTGGGAAACAGCACAAACAAAACACAAGAATGCCTGCCCTTACGAAGCTTACACTCTGTTGCCAGATCATGGAAGTCCAGAGAAACCAGTTAGAAACCCCTTGTAGTATCCCAGGCAAAAATAGTGAGCACCGAACCAAAGCAGTGTCAAGAGGAAAAGAGGCAGAATTCTTGAAGATGCAGAATTAATGGGACTTGGTGATAATTAGATATGGCAAGTGAACAGGAGTCAGGTTGATCCCGAGTTTCTCATTTCAATGACCAGATAACCAACAAGGCCATTCACCAAATAAATTGTATAAATGGAGGGAAAATATGACTGGCACAATTTTGACTTGTTGAATTTCCAATGTGTTTGGAATCTTCCAAAAGAGAGATCCAACAGGCAGTTGGATAGATAGATGTAAGTCTGGAGCTCAAGAGAGTTTGGAACTGAGAACAGAGACTTAAGATCCTTGAAAGTAAAAGTGATGAGGGTGGAGAAAGATCACCCAGGTGTCCCTGCATGTAGAGTGAGAGGGTAAGGGGGCCACGGGCAGAACCCACGTGACTATCCACATGAAAGGGAAGTTTGGAGAACTCGAAGTCTTGGAGAAGACTGGGAAGGATCAGTCAGAGGTAGGTGTGCCAGGTGCTGCAGAGAGGTCAAGGGAACGACTCCTGGAAACCACTGCCTTGGCAAGAGGAGCTTAGGGAAAGTGTTGGGGCTAGAACTTACCGTGCCGCTGGACAGCACAGAACCTACAATAGATACACAATTCTGACCCACAGGAATTGGGAATATATCTCCAAACTCATAAAAACAGGATTCCTGAGTCAAGGTGTCAGAAAAATCAAGGGCGGGAACCAAGATGTCTAGATCCAACATCAAAGAATTCCTACTGCTTCTAACTAGCCAGGCATGAGGCACGCTCTAAGCCGGCATTGTCCACTCTGCTAGCCACCAGCCCCTGTGACTACTGAACACTTGAACTGTGGCTAATCCAAATTGAAATGTTGGAAGTATAAATTGCATAACAGATTTCAAGACTTAATACAAAAGAAAAAAAAAGAATTTAAAAGAAGTTTATATTGATTAAGCTTATTTAAATGATAATTGGGTATCTTGGGTTAAATAAAATATGTTAATGTTAGTTTTACATGGTTCTTTTTTTTTTT